CTGCCGGGCGGTTTCGCCCGTGCATTTGACGCTCCCCGCTTTCTGCCGGGCGGTCTCGCCCGTGCTCCTGACAAAAAGCTGCAGCCACGAGCCGGTCGTCTTTCTGACGAACCCAAGATCCACTACGGAGTTATCGCTTTAGCCAACAGGGTTATGAAAAACGGAAAGGAACGAGATGAGATTGCCTGGCTGCATTCGGCGCTGTGTTTCGAGATGGAGGCAGCAGGCATGATGGATAACGTCCAGTGCTTGCCGATTCGCGGCATTTGCGACTACTTAGATTCCCATAAGAACAAAGTGTGGCAGGACTATGCCGCTGCGACGGCGGCCGCATACGCAAGGGAACTTCTGGAAGTGATTCCGGCTTCATCGGGGGAACTTAGCCGGGCTAATACCACACGCTTTAACAACGCGAGCGAGCCCGACACTGCTGGTAATGAATTCCTTCCTTGACCCTCCCTTTCCCGTCCCTGCCGAGCACCATATTGACCGGCCACGAGCAGACGACCAAGCTTTAGAACGGCGGCAACGCTGGCTAGAATCCCTTAACTTCGCCCAAATCGATGCTCGGAAAACCACTATTCGAACCGCACACAGCAAAACCTGCCGTTGGTTCGTCCGTTACTCGGCACATCGGGATTGGCTCGACCCCGCAATGCAATCGCAAAACCATGGTTTCTTATGGATGCGAGGCAAGGCAGGCGCTGGGAAGTTAACCATGATGAAGTTTGTCTACTTGGAGTCGAAAAAAAAGGACGGATCCAACACCATGTCCGCGTCCTTCTTCTTCAACGCTCGCGGCGAATACTTGGAAAAGTTTATCACGGGCATGTACCGGTCCTTGCTAATGCAGCTCCTGAAGAGATTTCCGGATTTTCAATTTATCCTAGACAACACTGATATCATTCCGGCGAGCCAGCAAGACTGCCTTGACTTGGACGCGCTGAAGGAGCTTCTCAGGAGTGCCCTCCTAAGCCTTGGCCAGCGCTCCTTTACTTGCTTCATCGACGCCTTCGACGAATGTGACGAGCAGGAAGTCCGGGACATGGTTCAATTCTTTGAAGATTTGGCAGAGGACACGACCGAGGCTGGCATCCAACTCCGAATCTGTTTTTCGAGTCGCCCATACCCTTACGTCAGCACGCCCAAAGGCATCTTGCTGACCCTCGAGGACGAATCCGGACACGCAAAAGACCTGGCACAGTACGTCGAGAGCAAGCTCAAGATCGACGACCCCGTGCTCCGCAAAGACTTGCAATTGCAGATCCTGGGCAAGGCGTCCGGTATTTTCCTATGGATTATCCTCGTTGTGGATATCCTAAACGAAGAGGACGACGACGGCGGCCTCGCTTTCAGGACAAAGCTTTCGAAAATCCCCGACAAGTTGAGCGACTTGTTCAAGAGCATCCTGATGCGTGATCAGAAATCACCCGAACGCCTGCTGCTTTGCGTTCTCTGGATCCTTTGTGCAAAAACGACCATTGACTCCAGTCGAGTTCCGCACGCGCTGTGGGTGG